ATATTATACCTATAACCCTATAAATTAGTATGAGAGATAAACATTTTTTTGGTAACATAATAAAATCTTAGTTATTCAAATTTTTGGTAGAATAAGAAAATCTAAATGATTAAAAATACTTCAACAATGAAAAGGATCAACATCGCACTATTCTCTGACATTTTAATGACTGATCGACTAAATCCTTTTACGAAAAATGAAAAGCAAACCCTATGTAAGGGAACCAACTCCTAAATACATTATCAAATCATCATTTTATTTACTCCTCGTCGTTAGATATGATTGCACGTATTCTTTTTAACTTTGTTGCATTTCCCCCGTCAGAACAACACCATCATCTCCACCAATACTAATGTCTTCATCTCCATTAGTAAAACATTTATCACCATTATCAATTGCATATTCCTTATTCTCTTGCATTTCAATACTTTACGAAGAATATTTCTTCAATGCATAAAACCACCTATTAGTCAGACCAGTTGTGTTTTATGTATAATTAACTTATCCTTGTGTTTTACTATTTTAAATCTAAATATGGTTTTTGTCCTAACATTATGTTATCAAATATTCGTAGTCAACAATGAATCAATGATTTTGATCATTTTCAGAAACAATATATATTCTAAGTTAAGATGTTTAATCACTAATTATTGATAGTTTGTTATTTATCCCATAGGCTTATGTTGAAAAGTTTCAGCACATACAATGATTTCTCAATTATCTTAGGTCGACTCATTCCCAATGTGAAGGTTTGTAAACTCTTGATGGAAGACATTATGCCTCGATTTTTCAACCACAATACTCAAATTTATTATCTTATACAACATACATTAGCTTATTATTCTCAAAATTAGGAATAATTCTCAATCATTACTTATTGACCTCTCAGTATATCATTGTATTTCTTACCGAAAATGTTTGATCTCTGATAAATATTGTTTATCCAAATTCAAGGTCATTAATACATCATCAAGATTCTAGCATGGACTTGGTGATGGATTTTGATCCATCATGTACTTGGTGATGGATTTGGCGATGCATTTGGATCCATCATGGACTTTGTACAAAACCCATTGTTTGCTTAATGTATTTAGGGGTAACAAATCTGTGGGTCCCACGAATTTTAAGGGTCCAAATCCGTGGACCCCACATACTTGAAAGTTCCACATTTGTAGGTGGGAATTGATCATGGACTTTGAAGTCTATCATTTAAGACCAAACTACCCTCATATTTCATTTATTTTCTCATACCAATGAGGGTAATAAGAGTAAATTTGACTTCATACATACAAATCTAATTAACCAATTCCATCATGAAGTCTATGAAACAAACAATGGCATTTTTCAAGTCCATAATGAACCGAAAACACTCATATATCCATGGTTTTACAAAGCCCAAGTTCTACCAAAACCTTCATTTTTAAAATCCACATAGCAAACGATCCCTAGTTAACGATTCCTTAATTCTTAACACATGATCTAGAAATTTAGATATTCTTGGTAAACATTTAAAAGCTAATATTTTCTTATTAGTATAAGTAATTGATAGGGTGTGTCTATAATGAATCGCGAGCTTGTGGTTCCAATTAAGGTTGTTAAACATGTTTAAGTCATTTAGCTGGTCAAACAAACGGTTTGAGTTTCAATGGTTGGATTTAAGGTCCAACCGATTTAAGCCATTTTATCCTATTATAAAAATATGGAATTTTTTAAGTGGTCTGTGCTGACTTGGCAGTAACGTGGCCCGTTGATCGTTAGTCAACGCGTTTGACCGTCCAAGATAACGATCAAATCTCGAGTTTGGCCAATTTTGTAACTTTGATGCATAGTTGAGGTGACGATGTTATAGATCGAAAAAATTAGTTACAATGTTTAATTTATGAAAAGTTCGGGCATACAAGTATACTAACCCAAAAAAATATATGATAATAATTTAAGATTTTCACAACCGGAATGTAATTTGACCGGACAGACAGGTAACATACAATAATATAACAATTAACATATTATCTTACCCTAAAAGCTACGTGTATATATGTTTGGTTTTCCAAATATTAATAGTGTTGGGAAAGGACAAAAAACAACATTTTATCCAAGAGTTGGAGACCGGTCAATGCCTTCTTTCTTCCATGCATGTTGCGATTGTCGCTGATCTTTTTTCTACTCACTAAACTTGAAATTTATAGGATAATGTTGCGGAGAGGGAAGTGTCAACACATGTTATATTTGATACCATAAAGGTTTTCAAATTATTTAATTACTCGTGCAATTTTGGACAGGCTAATAATCCTATTTTTTACTAAATTCTTCGTAATATATTTCAGTAGAAGCAAATTTTTAAAAGTAAAATATTTGGAAACACTAAATTTTACACGCAGAAGAATTGTAAATCATGAATTAAGTCGGGAGTATCATAATCATTCTAGGTTGACTTTAGCCATATTGAGAGTTTAGTCAAAGTCCAGTCGGCAAGTTGAGACCCACTTTCATGACATTCTAAAGAATAATTGAAGGTGAGGGCACGATCAGGAACTGACACATAGATCAAGTACTACTATAAAAGAATTGATAGTTATTTGCTATAGTTTGCTTGACTAACATATTTTTCTAATGTAAAATATATCTAAATGGATATAATTTTATAAAGTATAATCAATTTAAATTTTCTTTAAAACTCTATTGTTTTAATTAGAACAAATTAAATACGATTAACTAAAAATAATGAGGGAAGGGAATATAAAAGAGGAATTCCTCACAAAAATGAAAATATGGTATTTGTGAGTTATTTCACAATAACTACCCCTATGAGGTATTGACAATAACTCATTAATGAGTTATTTCAAATTAACTCAAGTATAAATAACTTTTTTTTCTTTTTTTTTTTTTTTGCATTGAAGGGAGGCCGAGGCCGAGCAAGCAGAAAAAAAGGCTACAGGGGAAGGTTACAGTGGGGGAGAGGTGGGCGCCACAATCTGGCGTTCAAGAGTAACTCCTATCATATCATCTCTGAGAACGTGGAATTGGAACGTGCATTTTAGAGTAACTCAAGTATAAATAACTCATCATCAATTTTTGTAGATAAACGGGTTATTTGCACTCAAATAACTCAATATATTTATTGGAAGGAGATGGAAACTTGAGTAGTTCTCCCATACATATTATCACTCATATATTAGGGTTGTTTGGGTGCAAATAACTCATACGAATAACTCATCCAAACAACCCTAATATATGAGTGATAATATGTATGAGAGAACTACTCAAGTTTCCATCTCCTTCCAATAAATATATGTTTCCGATTCCTTATTGGAAATAAACAGAGGAATTTAGTTTTATCTTTATTTAAGTGACTCCGTTAAGTTTTATCTTTATTTAATTGATTAATTGAGTTTAACAAAACGATCGAGTTGTCCTTCCGTGTTATGCACACAGGACACGAAAAGCTGAATGGGATGTGTTCTGCCAGAGAACCTCTTTATATGTTTGGTATGATTAGATCTTAATTTAATAATAATTACTTTCACCTTCATTATTTTTTTGTTTTTATTTTATTTAGAGAATATTTTCTTTTTGGATTAATTAAATATTAAATTTCTTGATTCCTTCTACAAAGTTGTGAATCCAGAAGAACCCTTCGTAATGTAGGTTCTAGTCTTCTAGATATTTGCAAGAGATTAATATAGAATCACTATACTGGTTTGGTTCACCTTTTGCAAAAATATAATATTTGTCCTAATGTCTTGTATAACTATTTTGCTATTAGATAGTGTGGTGTATGGGGTTTTTTCACATAGAATTCTCCCGTTGTCTTTAGTTTTTGTGATGCTCTTTTATTTCATAGTGAAAACGAATTTTTACTCATGTCTTGGTTTCCTAAAGCGCCTGAAAGCCTTTTGCAATCCAAAGTGCATCCTTAAACTATAAAGCCTCTAAAATGCACGTTCCAATTCCATCCTTCATCCTCCTCGAGCGGAGTAGTTGTTGTTCCACTTCCAGCTTTCATCCTTGACTTTTCTTCTTTGTCAATCCAACGACTACTAATTATTAAACCACAACTAATCAATGTAGTAAAAAATGAGTTTTTATGTGTAAATGTTTTGGTGATCTAGAACGTAAAATCATAAGTTTTTAAGTTTTAAAGCAAGTTTTTAATTATATAAGTTATAAAAATAACTGCTAATTATGATTTTAGATTAATCGTTACTAACCGCTAACCATGGTTTGAGGTAAGCAGTTAATCGATAATCATTTGCAGTGCCGTCACAATTGACAAATTGTTGAACCCATCATAATGACTAATGTAATTTCTTATACATGTATTTTGCTAATCATGATATTTAATTTCTTGATTCCTTCTACAAAGTGTTGAACCCTTCGTAATGACTAATGTAGCTTCTAGATATATGTAAGAGATTAATGTAAAATCACTAAACTTTCTTGGTTGCTTCATCTTTTTGCAAAAATATACTATGTCTTAATATCTTATGCATGTATTTTGCTATTAGATAATGTGTGGTGTACGGGTTTTGGCACATCGAATTCTCCTGTTGTTCGTGGCTACTAAAGCGTCTTTTAAAACCTTTTGCAATCCAAAGTGCATCCTTAAACTTCAAAGCCTCTAAAATGCACGTCCCAGTTCCATCCTTCCTCCTCCTCGACTCTCCGTCCTCGAGTGGAGCATCTGTTGTTCCACTTCCAGCCTTCATCCTCGACTTTTCGTCTTCGTCAATCCAACGACTACGTACTACAGTTAACCACTACTAACCGCTAATCATGATTTTTGATAAACCGCAAGTATCCACTAACCTTGGTATGCGGTAATCAGTTAACCAATAACCATTTCCAGTGCAATCACGATTGGTGAATTTTTCCTTAATTGGTTGCAATTAACCGTCTTATTCGATGCGATAAACCGAACCATTTCGCACCCTCATCATCATCAGCAGCATGCTTAATTGTCTCAAAGAATACAATAAAGTACTTGCAGCATGATCCAATTAGCCCGACTTAAAACCAAACACAAATCAGTAGTCCATATTAATTAACGTTCCCAAAGGTATATCCTTGATGGAGAACATTGATCTTGCGAAAGTAAATTAGATACTTGTATAGATTTCAGGCGTAGACTCTAAACTGGAATCGACCTAACACAGCATCATACTAATCTAACCTTAAGCTGGGCAATAGCTTCCCATCCCTGCCGGTAGGAAAATAGTCCTTTATGGCCACGCCATTGACATCAAGTGCATCGTAGGTGCCATCCTCGGCCGCAAGGGACTTGCCTTCAGTTTTAACGAAGGCCGAGAGCTTCCTCGTGAACGCCGGCTCCCATCTGTCTTCAGGATAGAGCTCTCTGAACACCGCAGGAATGCCGCGATAGAGTTTGTCGATCATGTTCCTGCATCGCTTGAGTGCGGTAGCCTTCGCCTCCTTGACCGCATTTTCCAGGTTCAAGTGCCAGCCCTCTCTCTCATTTTCAAGAAAGTCCCGAGCAGCAGAGGCCTCCTCAGCATGGCGCGACTCCATATCCTTCTGTTTCGCCTCGCAGGCTTCAAGAGCTTTCTTCAGCTCGTCGATCTCCTTTCTGTAACCGTCGGCCGTCTGAGAAATCTTACGCCGAGCCTCGCGTTCCTCTGTGTGTTGGAGTATCAACTTGTCTGCACGATCCAGTAACTATAAAAGTAGAAACAAGAAAGTGTTTAAGAGTTATCAGAAACGATGTCATGGACGGGAATGTGCGTAAGGAAGTAAATTAAGCGGGCATACCAGAAGACAGGCGTCGGCGACACTGCCGTCGACTTCAGAAGCGGGTATCATCTCCTCGTCATCGGAGAGTGCCGAAGCAATAGAGTGCAGCGCACTGACAGCAGCCTGCTTTGACTGACGGGCATCGGCAGGAATCACAACCGACTTCGACCCTATTCGGGCACGAGTGGCTCGCTCAGCTTGAACATCGGAAGCTCGCCGCTTGGTTCCGTGATGAGAGGACGACACATTTCTAGGAGGAGGAGCGCCAGAGGAAGCACGCGGAGCCTGCAGGGATGTCCCCGCTGCTGCCAAAACTTTGGGAGCGGGTGAGTGTCGGGAGTCACCTTCGGTGCCTCGAGAGGCCATAACTGCAGGAACGAGCCTCCGGCGCGTCACCATTGCTGTAAAGCAAAAAAATATCATCAACAAGAAAAGAGTTCAAGACAAACGGAGCAATAAAACAAGAAATATGTAGCACGCACAGTTATCAAACACAGCCCGCACCAAAGCAAGGCAAATGCGCTCGTCCCGCAAGTCCCATGAAGGCAGCTCCTCTATGGCAGCAATAATCTGTTGCTCATCGTTCGTTAAGTTAATTCGTTCCAGACTACGTCCCTGTGCCCAACCGGTTCGAAGCGGCTTGGAATCATCAGTTACCCACTCATCCGGAGGAGGGCGCACAAAGAAGAAATCTCTACACCATGGGGTAAGCTTGGGGGACGTCCGAGTGAAACCCTTAATAGCACGATTCTTCAGCAAAGTCAAGCAATTCGTTTGACGGATGATGCTGAAAACATAGCAAAAGAGACGTAAAGTCGGGGTCGTGCCAACTAGCTCACACGCCAGAGTGAAAGCTGTTGCTTGCGCCCAAAAGGAAGGTGAGAGGTGGCTGACCGTGGCTCCAGTCTTGTGAATGAACTCCTTGAGCCAATTCGCCAGAGGAAAGATCATACCGAACTGCACTGACTCGACATATACACCCATCCACCCCTTGGGACAATTGCCGATGGTAACACCATCGCTGGAACAGGCGTAATCCCAATGCGTTGGGAGATGGAGCCCGACGAGCTGAGATGTGAGTGCATCCCTCGAAGTGAGACCACTAAAGATCTTCGGTCCAAGATTCCGCCCTTCGTCTGGAGGGTTATCAGAAGAAGTAAACATGTCCCTCCAAGAGACTATTTTCAAGGAACGACACTGCTCAATGCCCAACCTCGCAGGTGTGGCAACATGGAGGGGAAGCCTGTTGGCACCCTCACTCCCATCGTTGCTGTTACTCGTTCTCGAAACTCCTACCTCCTCCGAAGAGGCCGAACCAGAGTCATCATCTCTTGAACTACTAGCTGAAGCTGAGTCTTCCAAAGAACCCCCGACCGAATCATCACCCTCAAATGCTTCTTCCTCAGAATCGCTCATTCTGCCAAGCTCTAAGACTAAGTTCAGAAAAGTACGAATGCCCAACAAACAAGCTGAGTATCCTGCGCAAAATGAGAGAATGGGGAGGAAGCGTTCACCAATTGATACAGGGAGAATGAACCCAAATGAAAACAGTGAGTTCAACGCAGAAATGAACTATCAAGAACACATACTGAGTTCATTAGAGAACCGTCCAACAGTAACCCTAAACCCTACTAAAGAAAGGGAACTTTCATGGCACAATGGACTACCAAGACGACATTGAGAAGTGGAGATGAAGATTGAGCTTTACCCGATAGTCGACAGATTAGAGAGTCCCTCTGTTGGCTTCACCGCAATGGAAGGATTGGGGGTTGGCCGAAAAATTCGACGGAGTGGGAAAGCCAGTCTGTCACACACGAATAGAAGAGGATGAGAAGGATTGGTTTGATTTTATGAGCGCTCGAAAAGAGGGGGGATTTCGCCATTGGGAAGGGGAGAAGAGAAGGAAGCTCAAGGTTGTCAACCCGCGAGTTGACCCACGGGTCGATCCAAGACCCTGACCCGGTAAGAAAAATGGGCCGCACGCACCCACCGGGCCGACCGCTATTAGGTACCGGGTTAGAGGTTAAATTGTGTCATTTTTTTCTTTAGTTTGCGAAATGCGCCTATTTTCCAATTTTTCTTTTCGCCTAACTCAATCTTTGGAATACTAAGTTGAACATTTGAATATTTATGTTATATAAGTGTGTGTGAATTTTCACTATATGTTGGATCTAAGTACGATATGTTATTTTGGTGTAATATTATATGTTATAACTCATATGTTAGATAAAATTTGATATAATTTATGAGGATAAGTACAATATAATGACTCTTTCTATATTTTCGGACCAAACCGGGATAAAACGGTTGACCCATTAACCCTGGACCCACTAGCTCGATCGGATCCGGGTCAACCCGCGGGTTGACAACCTCGAGGAAGCTTTTTTGCTTTGGAATTTGGACTGTGAAAGGGGAAGGAAGACGAAGCATCGCAGAGGAAGTAATTTGAACTTTTGGCATCAGAATTTTGTGCATGGAGCCCTTTTGAACTTTTTAAAACTTGGGAGGATGTATTGGTAAGAACTTGAAAAGAGTAGGATGTAAGTTGAATTTCATTTTCGTGCAGTCAAAGAATTTTGTTTTATTGCAGGTGAATTTGGAAACTTCAATGTCACTTGTTTTTCTGAATATGTGAATTTTCTGTCGAGGCTCTTCTTCTTCATCGCCCATTCCATCCCAGTCAACACGGGGCAGGGCTAAACCGAGCCAACCAACCAGCAAGCCCAAAGCTTTCTTCCAACCCTCCTCTTCTCTCTCTTTCTCTTCCCCGGGGGACGAAGAAGAAGAACCCTAATTTCTGTTTCCCCCAAATCCCTCGACAACTCCACCTTCCTTATCGTCGATAGTCCCAACCAATTCAATCCCAGATCAAGGAGGGGGAAGGGGGAAACAGTAGTGGGGAAAACAATGTCGTCGGAGATCGAAGTAGTGGAGGAGGAGGATGTTCGTCCCGGTGATCACGGGGGAAACAACGGGATTCCGGCTTCTGCCAACGGCGGCGAGATTGCTGTCGGCGACGAGAGCCTCAGGAACGACGTTTACACCGCGGCCGCGTATGGGGATTTGGAGAAGCTCCAGAGATTGGTGGAGAGTGAGGGTTGCTCCGTCTCCGAGCCCGACGGGCTTGGATACTATGCTCTGCAGTGGGCTGCTTTGAATAATCGGACTGCTGCTGCTCAGTACATAATCGAGGTTGGGATAATTGGATTTACTCTTCTGGTGTTTGTGACTAGATGGAATCGTTTGTTTCCTTTCCGCTTCATTTTGATGTTTCTGGTCTGTCTAGAGAATGGTCAATCTAGTTTCAATTGGTGTGTTGTAGCCCTTTAGGAATGGCAGAGTTGAGAGAAGGAATTGGACAGAGCTTTTTGGTGCTAATACTTTTGCATTATGGAATTAGAAAGTAGGTGGTGTTGGTTGTCTTCTGCTAAGGTATAGGACATTGAACAATTTTTTTGGACTTGAAGAAGCTCGCTCTATTCTTAGATTATACGTGTTCTGAGTAGTATGGAACATTTGATTGCCAGCACGGAGGAGATGTAAATGCAGCAGATCACACTGGTCAGACAGCACTGCATTGGAGTGCAGTTCGGGGTGCAATCCAAGTTGCCGAACTTTTACTTCAAGAGGGTGCCCGGGTGAATGCAGCTGATATGTACGGTTATCAGGTTAGTGTTAAATCATTACTATATTAGGTGGTAATAATTCTTTGATTAGGATAGATACCTTGTGATATTTTCGAATTATAACTGAAGCGAAAAACGTGTTTCTGTTTAGCATAGTTTCGCTGAGAAAGTCATGTTAATAAAGGAAATTTTTATCTACGCCATCATGATATAATCTTTGAAGACCAGTAGTGTAGTATTTTGTTCATGTTGTTAGACCTCTTGTGTCTGTGAAGATGAAAACTTGTGTAAATTTTACTTGCTTCCAGACTACACATGTTGCAGCTCAATATGGTCAGACAGCTTTCTTGTATCACGTCGTCTCAAAATGGAATGCGGATCCTGATCTTCCAGATAATGATGGAAGAAGCCCCTTGCACTGGTACGGTTAGACATTCATTCACCCCCCTTGTCAAATTTGGAGAAGGCTATAAAATCTCCAAACTCTGTAATTTGGTATTACTTATTCTGAAATATTGATGCATCCTTGGACCAAGAAATTAATGAACTCCAGACCCTGGTCCACACTTTTAGGTGGTCCTCGATTCTTCGTCAAGACACAGACTTAGGCTAGTTAGAGTAGACAATCTTGGTTTATTTCTTATTTCCCTTAGTGAACTAAACCCTTGGTATTTGCCTCCTTTTATTAGTCTTACTCTTTACTCATCTGTTGACGTTCTACTTCAACTGTGGGACTGCTTGATTAAATATTCCTATTTGTCAAATTACAATATCTTTTTAATGTTTAGTGTCGTCTCATTTGGTTCATGAATTGAGTAGTTACTGAACCACCATAATGTCTTTTACTTTTTTTTTTTGGAAAATACAGGGCTGCTTATAAGGGTTTTGCCGATTGTATACGCCTGTTGTTATTTCTGGATGCATACAGGGGACGACAAGATAAAGAGGGTAATAATGTTAGCTGCATAGATCAATTTATTTATTACCAGCCACTCCCTTTTATATGTTACTGGAACCATCTTAAAGTAGTAACTAGATTAAAATCCTGATTTTGCTTAAATAAGGTTGTACACCGCTTCATTGGGCTGCAATTAGGGGTAACTTGGAGGCATGCACAGTGTTGGTACAAGCTGGCAAGAAGGAGGACTTGGTAATCACAGATAACACGGGGCTGACTCCAACTCAACTTGCTTCTGACAAGAATCACAGACAAGTTGCATTTTTCCTTGTAGGTGTTCCTGCTACAAGTACATTTCCGTTATTTGCATACTGATGTTAACTGGATGACGTATATCCCCTTTCTCTTTGAATGTTAGATCTTTGTGTAAGATGTTACTAGACTTCTCTTAATAGGTTTTTATGGTTATGTTCCCCTTCTACTTTCACTTCCTCTCCATTTTTTCTTAAGATATTCTGGTAAGAAGCATTAAAATATGTTCCTGCCAGTTTTATATCTAAATGTCCTGGTTCTGCAGGGAAACGCTAGAAGACTGCTTGATAGACGTTGTGATGGTGCCACCCACTTGGGACGTTTGTCAAAGTTGGGACTTGCTCCTGTGCTTTGGTGTATAATAATTGTTCTTCAGATCGTCTATATACATTCTGTCATCATGGGTATTATTCATTACCCTCTTTGTCTGAGTTGTTGAACTCCTTTGAGGATTTCAGTTAGCACGCAGTATTGATGGTTTCTTTTTCTTATCTCAGCTCCAAATCTGCCCAAGTTAACAGCTGGCTTTGGCCTATTTGCATGGCTAGGGGTATTTCTTGCAACCAGTGGGCTTGTGATGTTTTACAGGTGTAGCAGGTAAGCTTCGTGAAGTGGTCTCATCTGTATATCATTTAATAATATTTTGTATTAACTAGACAAAGGATAAGGCATATAAGCCACATCAGTAGGTCAAATGATTGAAAGACGATTAGAAATTATCGATATTCTTTGGTTACTCCTTACGTTCTACCATCTCCCTTTTTGTTGCACCTTTAGAAGTTTCAAAGTGTTTTTAACCACCTCTCATTTGACTGTGTAAGCTGTTGTGTCTGTTCTGTTCGTGTCCTGGATTGCAGGAAGGATCCTGGTTATATAAGAATGAATGTGCCTGATCCGCAAAACATGAAAGATGATGTAAGTTCCATTATTTGTGGATTCTGTATGTCTAGTACTTCATCCACTGCCCTTGCTTCAACAGTCACCACCCAACCTCCGGGAGGGGAGGGAAAGGGAAGGGATAACAAGCAGAAGTCAGATAGAACCTTTTTCTGTTTCTTGTGCCTTCGATCCATAGAGAATTGATGTCAATGGATTCCTTAATATGGGTCTTGCATGAATCTTTGGCAGCTCTTACCTTTCTTAGATCACCAGTATTGTTGGTTTGTTGACTACTGACTTCATGATATATGCACAATCCTTTCTACTAGGAACCTCTTTTGAAGATCGAAATAAACAATCCTGCTTTGCTTTCTGGGAATTGGTCTCAGCTTTGTGCAACATGCAAGGTGGAGTTTTATCACATGACTTGTAATTTGTCTGATAGAAACATGCCTTATGATCGAGGCTTAATGGTTCGTATTTTTCTCATCTCCAATACCAGATTGTAAGACCTCTTCGTGCCAAGCACTGTTCCACATGTGATCGTTGTGTCGAACAATTTGACCATCATTGCCCGTGGGTATCAAATTGCATAGGCAAGGTGCGTGACCAACTGACCATCGATGCTTCATATTCTATTTGAAGTCGCAATATCTCTGCCCATTTAAGTAAATATGTGGATGCATGAAGTTCTTTTATTCTGATTCAGAAAAACAAGTGGGATTTCTTCTTGTTTCTCATTTTGGAAGTCTCCGCAATGCTGATAACTGGTGGCGTGGCTCTCACAAGTATGCGACTTATTCCCCGTCCAAGATTGTAACTCTTGAAATGCCCTGTTTATCCTTCTTCGTCTTCTTCCATTCATGATGTATCTTTTGCGCCACTTCCAGGAATTGTTACCGATCAAACGGCTCCTTCAACATTCGGAGGCTGGTTAAACTATGCTGGTACGCATCACGTTGGCGCCATATCGTTCCTGATGGTTGACTTCTTCCTCTTCTTCGGTGTAGCTGTTCTAACCGTCGTCCAAGCTTCCCAGGTAAAATTTTCGCTTCTCTTATCTCTCACGCGCGACATTCTCGGTCTGTTGTTGGGTTAAACCATGGTCTGCTGCATCTCTCATGATATTCTTCTCCACCACAGATATCCCGCAACATAACAACCAACGAGATGGCAAACACAATGCGGTACAGC